CTCGACGGCAACCTTCAAGGCCACATTAAAATCAATGAACTCGAATGCGCACTTGTTGCATTCGCTGAACGCTACTATTTGCAAACTTTTTCTCTGTATGACCAGGAAACCGATTTCTCTAGTAGTAACCAAAATTAAAAAGGGATAATTACATCGCTAGCTTCCAAATAACATTTCAGCACAGAGTTAATATCCTGTCAGAAAAATGCTTTAAATGCAATATTTGGAGACTAGTGCTTTTGAAATTTGCATTTTTTTTAAAAACGTCAGTCAGTCAGTGAAATAAGCGACGATAAGCTTTTCCTTGTGCATGTCGTAGGCACGTCTCCAGCATATTATTTTTTCTGCCTTAGTCTACTTGAGGCACAGAATGTATTAAGTTTGCGTATATGCATTTTGAAGCTGGCTTAGTTAATTGCATCAAATCTAGACAACACAGGTCCATTTTTTAGTTGGCGTTTCATACAAGGATTTTCATGGAAATGTCTTAAGTTCAATAATTTACGACGAAGATAGATGAAGAAGAAAATCAATTTTATTAAATTTACACCACCTCAGCTCGCCTTTTGGGGCGTTATAAAAATATGCGAAGGTCGCAAAGGTATATTATCACGAAAATAAATGACGCATTATATCCGATAGAGAGGTGTAGGGCATTTAATACTTTACCAAATGCTTTACCAATTTGCTGTGTATGTATAACGAGTGCTGCCGTATAAGTTATTTTACATTTAGAATAAAGTGCATACGCTTCCACGGCCGTTCACATTTCAAATGTTGTTATACATCTTTGACGAAACACACCCCGGTGAGTTTCGGAATGCATTTATTAAACTAAACTGAATAAATGAAAATATTTCGTCAAAGTTATATATCATTTTTTGCTTGCTGTAGGCAGCGTTTAACTAAGCATTGAACTCTGTATAGCGTATTATTAGCAAAGTGGTTCTCGAAACAGGAAATTTGTTTTATGCGTTTAACAGCCCGACAACATGCGTAAACTTGAACTTGTGTGTAAACGCAATAAAAGCATTGCCAAGAATTGTGAACTTGAACGGATACAAAGTTAGATTAATTTACGTATATCAAGTAACGTTGTGGGTAATGAAAGCAAAATATGCACACGCTTATGCGCGAAGGCAGTCAAGTCAAAAGTCGATGACGTATGCCAATCTTACGGCATAAGTGCAGATTTATTACTTTTAGCCATCGGGCTAGGCTACTGCTCATTGGTTAGATAAACTGCTGTGCATTTCAGCACATGTTAACAATCAAGCTGGCAAATATTGTTATTATCCGCAATCAATAAAACTATTTTACATTTTCGCCTAAGCGTGCAAAAGTTTCCATAGTTAGCCATAGTTAAACTAAACAACAACTCAAGCCAATTATGTATCTTAAGAGAGGTTAGGGGGGAACAATGTATATACATTTTGTTGAACCCATAGATGAATACATGTATGTATGTATGCAGATATGTGCACGTACTATTCGCTTCACAATTTTTCTACATTACAACCATTTAACGTAATATATATCATAGAATAATAAAATTGCATTAATGATTTTATTAGAATGAAAAAATTTTGTGTTTGTTTTTGTTTGTTTTTTCACAAAACTATTTTTGATTAATTTCGTGTGCAACATAAATTATACGCTAATTATAACTTCCTCGCATTCTTTAAGAAAATAAATTTACATTTTTATACATTTATTTTACCTAACATCAATTAAGTCGGTTTTATACGAAAAGAACGACACATTAACATAAATTGTAAATAATTCATTTGGTAGTTGAAGAAAAAATCGAGTCGTACATTTCAATTAGTACTTTGATAAATAGCTAGTTAATAACTTCATGCTTGCATGCGGGAATCACTACAAAATCAGAAATGGGAAGTATGTGTCAAATGAATGACTGCAAGAACAAAACATTTTATATCGGTAATAATAAAGTGATACCTCACTAGGTATCAAGATGCTTATCAGCTAATTTATAAGCTTTACATCGTTAGCTATCTCAGCTTACTGTCTGGATGTGAGCAACTGCTTCAAAAATCATAAAAGAGCGAATGATTTGTTGCTACATTTGTAACGTTGTATTTAAACCATCGAAATAACGTATTTCTAATAGGAAAGGTTGTCTGTGGTCACCAATATATGCTACGAGGCCAGCTGACGTTCGTTCCAACACTAAAAAAAAAGAAGAAAAACAGCAATAAATAGAATTAGTTTTTACACTTCACTCTTCTTGTGGTATCAAAAGTTCCAAAAGGGCTTGAGATAGATCCATCTTCTATAACACCCATCGATTCAAAATCACTTTCTGATCTAAGCTTGTCTGTCCATCCGTCCGTCTCTTGTGCTTGTATTCAACTTACAGCGCGCAGTTTTTGAGGCATCTTAATGAAATGGTTCGAAGGGGCATATTTTTTCGATCACTTTGCACATAACAACTTCTTTTTGAAAAGTCGTGATAAGCTGCTAGTGGAGGACAATAGTGTTTTCAATTGTTCAAATTTTATGCAAGTGCGCGATTTTTAATCCCATTGATGCGTTTTTTAACGCATTTTCTTCTTCATTTCAAGTAGTACGCGATCCGCTTTCTTCAATCTTCTTGATTCATTTCGATATGACCGTTGTTCTTCAGATTCTTTTGCTGTTATCGAGCATTTCTTCTGTATAAATCAACGTTGGATCGTGCCCCTTGCGGCATTTTTCTCTTACAATAATTTTCTGCCTTTTTCAAACTTAGCGTTCATAATATGCATTAAATATTTACTTATTTTTTAATCGAGTTGAAACGAAGTTCAGCGAGTGAGCTAACGAATAAGAATAGTAACTATTACGCTTTTGCATTATTAAAATGTTTAGAAAGATAAAATAAATACTACCTTTAAAGTCGGTTGCAATCGATCCAACAGCGCAGACTTTACCCTACAACGCTATCGTAACCTCTCGATACCAAATAACACTTAACAGCTTCCTTGAGCCCAAACAGATATTAGGTATTAGCTTGCATACAAAGCTCATGCATTTTTAGATTAGATGTTTGCAAAAATGTTGATCAGCGATTTCTGCAGGTAAAAATTATTAAGAAATGGGAAATACGAGTGCACACAACGATTGAATCCGATGGTTTTGATCTTCCTCTACATGAAATAACAGCTTTCCAATAAATTATATTGATTTATTCAACGCATGCTAACACTAATCACGAAAAACTCAAAATTTCATTTTCGAAATTCATTACTTTTGTTATTTGATTTGAGGTGTCTGCTGCTGAAACTTATGAAACATTATTAGAAGATTATGTTGATGCTGCTTCAACATATCCCAAGAGAGTGATTTGATAATTCAAAAAAAGGGAAAATGACTACGACACGAAACGCCATTGCGAAGATCGCTGTTTCATTGCTTGCCAAGCAAAAAACTTTGACTGTGCGCTAGAATCTTAGAAAACTATTACTGCAGATGTCGGGCGGCGTCAATTGAACAAACTGAACGATGTATTGTTGCAAAAAATACCAGCAATAGATACAAAATTGTCCTCTTGCATCATATCGCTCGGTCAAACATACCAAGAGGAAGTTCTGTGGCACCCAGCTCAGCGCCGTAAAATTGATCACGCCTATCCAATATTGTAGTGTGTCATAATTACATTCCATTCTTCAATGCCTCTATATCCGCACAGGCAAGCTTCAGAAAACCCCTTAAAGCCTATAAGTTCTAAGCCAATTTTAAATTCAGCCAATTTTCGCTCATTACTCAAAAATTGTAGCAGATAAATGTACAAAAATTTGAACACAAATTCTTTGGCGGATGCTGTACCAACTGTGAAAACTGGGAAAAGTTTACCGCGCCTAGCTATAGCGCATCAAAATTTAATTTTTTTTTTCCAATACCTTTATAAGGCGCGGAAACAAGCTTCAAAAACCCACCAAGGTATACAAATTCTCGGGCAGTGTCAAATTTGTGACGCACCTTCTGTTCATATGTCTATCTGTCTGTCTGCGCAACTTTGCAGTACTTGTAGTAAAGATCCTCCTGTTTGCAAAAATGAAGATATGTTCTACAAACCTGCAAAGGAATTTGAAAGTGACGCAAACTTTCCAAAAAACACGTCTGCAAAGCCCACAAGCCTATGTACCAAAAAACGTGAACACTTTTGCTTTCCCTCTCACTTACGCGTTGCTTATAAACTACCACAGATGCACGGTATAAGTTTCTGTAGAATTATTATACAAAAATAGGATAACAGTGATGGGTATAAGAAATTCGGTCAGAACCCAATATAACTTTCATTTCCACCTTAATCATTTTTATATAGTTTCTGTTCCCATTCAGGGAATGCGCTCTACAGGTGTATTGCGATGATGGAGAAGATAAAGACAGGGAATGGCCGCAGCTTGGGAAGTGTGTGTCCGATCCGCAAATGTTATGCCTTTATCAAGCAACCGCTCACACTACGCCCAGATATTAATCGCAAATACATTTTGGTCTACCTCTGTGGGAATTCAAGCCGTCTTAACACTGGCTCATAGGCAACAACTGGCCCTAACAAGGTATTATTAGCTGTTTATTAAAGGAGCTATTGATATTATTTTCTAACATCAGTGTAAGTGTACAGTGTTAGAAAGATTACGTGAAGCTTTGGCATACTTCACGATTATTGCTGCATATTCTTTATATCGACTGATGAGAATTAAAGAACACCAAACTTCATACATTAGAATTCCAGTTATGTGGGAACGGCAGCTTAAATAATGAAATACCAACTTGCCTCGTAAAACTTCAGCCACAATCTAAGCAACCAGAGTCCATCAAAGTTTCAGCAAATTTCCCATTTCTTCAATATTAAAATAAATGACCTTGGGCTTCCGTTCGCTGACTAATTTTCTAGCTTTGCAGAGATATTCCAAAGCATACCCAAATTTTAAACTTTAGATATTCATTATTTTTACTTATCGCTTAACAGGAGGAAATAAAAGAGAAACAGATTTTTTGTTGTGATTTGTTTTCACTGACTTTTATTGCAACAGCAACCATGAAAAATACCTAAAAACTGTTAAGCTAAAGTAATTTATGACAATTACATCAGTGGACCCCCAATGCTGCATGAATTTTATGCGTGTGTGTACTCATGTGATTGAAATAAATATCATTTGGCCAGATAATGACGTGTGTACATGCTAATGAAGTATTAGTTTACAGCAGGGTTTACCAGGTGCCTGGAGCGGGTTGCAAGTTAACCGATGCCACCGAATTGAGATGGCCGGGCAAAGGAGCAACATGAACGGCACCGCGAGTCTTAGCCACAAACGAGGCTGGCCCGTGAGCTACTACAGCGGGGACAGGCACTACAGCAGGGCCAGTAACCACTTGAACGGGACCAGGATGACCAACAGCTACAGCAGCTGGCCAAGGTGAAGCGGCCACAGTAACAGCTGCTGGAACATGCGCTCCTCCCCACACATAAGGGAAGGGAAAGACTGATGATTGCACACCCACAGCCAAAGCGAACAAGACTACGACGACGGCGAACTGTCGCGAGAAAGAAGACAAACGAAATGTTTTTAATAAAAAAATAACAGTATTTAGTTTAATAGGACAATAATAAGACCACTTTTGCCTCCTCTGAGTATGGTCTAAAATTTACTTTTACACTTTTACACACTACACTACGCGTGATTGAATGAATGAAGTTTTTCTATTTATTCATTTTTTATTTATATAATTTAGTTTTGCTCTATTCATTTTACATAAATTTTATGTTTATTTATTTAATTGTTTTTTTTTTTTCATTTCATCTGTTTTCGACGTAAGTGAACTCTCGTTAAATGTTAACTGCATTTTATTTAGTTTATTTATTGATCCTTTTAAAGCCTTCTTACCTTCATGTTGCTGAGTTGATTTATTTCTTAAGCTTTCTTTACGGTTTAACGTTGGAATAAGTTCTATAACCGTCCAATCGATCGCAACAATCTTTTATACTAATCGATCTTAGCCGTTAAGCTAGAGTAGGTAGAGCAGAAGGCGTTAATTGTGTTGGTTCTAATGATTATATTATTATAGCTACTTATCCGTTATGACGACATCAAAAATAAGAGCAATATTGTGCATATATATAAGATATATGCATACATTCATATAAATCCCAGCATATGTTCGCATATGTAGATCATTTACCCTTATACACTGAGCAATAGTGATCTGGAAGAAAAAGTTGTCGTTAATGTTTAATTTGTGATCATATGCTTAACCACATATGCACCTGTACTTTTTATATGTAGATTCATGCTTAGTTTTTTATGGAGTTAATTTAGAAGACAATAACAGTAACAACATATTTAAATACATACAAACACATCTAAATATGTATTACAAGTAATTCAAGCTTTAATTACGTAAATCAATGTTAATGTGGTTATGCTTTAATAACATTACTGTTAACCATGTAATCTAAAGAATTCTAAACCTTTTGCTAATGAAATAAAATTGTATTCCAAACGTCAGGGAGTATAAATCACAACAGGTCAGATTGAAAGTCAACTCGTAGCGAACGTTTGAAACTATTCGACTTGCGAAAGGTCTCACGAATTTTTTTCATTCTAAAAAAGGTCTAAAAACCTTTTCGCAATTGATATTTCTTGTCACGCAACTCGGCTTACGTAAAGTTTAATAAACACTATGTTGTGGACACTTGAAAGAGATAAAGTATAGGACGTAGTAAAGCCTAAAAATCATACGTTGATATGACCGGCTTACAGTGGCGTACGGGAAGTGATTGTACCGGTTACACTCTGTCTTAAAAATGACTTTAATTTCCGCGTATCAGCCTTCCATTTGTTCTTTTTTTACACATATAATAAGGCGGCCTATTTTCCAAACCTTGCACCTTGTAGGCTTTTGGATTGCAATTTCACCTTCGATACTACAGAGTATCAGCGAAACATTCCTTTCTTTGTTACTTTGCGTAATACTTTTATTTGATAGATTTTGATTTGTCTATTACAGCGGACAACGAGAAAAGAAGAGAAAATCTGATAGTAGTAGAAGAAACGGTAGCCTAATATCCGCCCTTAAGTAAACTCAAGCTCAAAGCTGCCACTCTTTGATTCTAAGAAGCTACTTAGTCCCCAAAGTCATGTTGTTCTTCCTGCAGATACTTGTGGTAATAGATGAGGGATTTTGCTAGGTTTCCACTCTCGTTTGGTCTGTATAATAATTTTCGTCGTGTGTTGTTTTAGCAGCGGCAGATAAATTTTGCTCTTTAGTAAGATGACATTGTCTTTTTCATTTTATATTGTCAACCTGTACTTATAACTTATACTTTGTGCTTTCTACTAACGTTCCCTTTTTGCTTTGTAATTGTCTTTGGCTAATATTTTATTTCCCTTCTAGCCGCACAGACTGCCGGGTAGCCAATCAGCTAAAGAAGCAAGACCATTAAGAGGCCACGCTCGATTACGATTAATGCATCGTTTTAGGAATAGCGTGCACTTAAATGATAATAGCATAACACGTACCGAAATGGCACACGCCTCCCAGGCTGCGCCCACCCCCTATATCCTAAAGGAGACATTTCATGAGTCGTACAACAAAAAGAGATAAAAACCAGCGTACGTGAATCGGTTTTCAAATCTCTTTCATATCTGTTTAAAAGCATTCAATCGCTCAGGAAAAATTCGTAAATGTTAGTATATAGCATACATACTGATACGTCTTAAAGCGGTCTTGACCTTCGTATATTATTGCATATAGGATTTGCAATAGAAGGCGTCGTTGGTGTGTTAGATCGCTCTATAATTTAACGACCTTCATATTAAAGCGTCGTCGTTAGGTTTAAGACTTTCAAAACACCTCATTTATATTCAAGTACGGACGAGCAAAAACACCGTTGTAAGAGCCGGCCCGTCACTATATGTGCTACAACATTTCGCCTAACACAGTTATTCCTATAACGATTTTTCTAAAGGAGGTATTACCTGAAAAAAGGCTTCACACGTTCCAAAATACAGAAGCAAGGGCATTGAGTGTAAATGTTTGTCAAGCGCAAGTAGAGCTTATGGAATACATGAAACATATGAATGATTCAAAGGCCATACGAACTGAAGTTGGGTGCATTACCGCATGCCGGCATCATGGGCGCTTGCCACCGGTTGCAGCTAATATATTTAAGCGCAGTGCGCACTAACGCTTTGTCAAAAATTACTTGAAAGCAAGAGAACGGGACTCGTCCCACCCCACTGCATTCTTCGCTAACTTCTGATTACCCTTTTATTAGATCAATGTGTAAAACCTTGTCTAAGCATGAGTCATATACTCGCGATAAATGTAACAGATGAGTCGATTTTTCTGTCTGTCTCTACAGCCTTTCTTCCAAGATACCAAATGGCCCACGCTTCGACTATTGAGCTCGTTTACATTCGCACACTAAACTTCCATTGTCTCATGAAATTGTTTAAAAAACCTGTTCATGCCATTAATAAGAAAGTCATTGTTTGTGTTTTTTAATAAATTGTAACTTTGTATGAACAATTTAACATAGGTTTGATTTATTCGTTTCGGCTGTTTTATTCACCGAGAGCAGAGCCGGCGCGGGGCATAGGATAATGCCAAATGCCTAATAACTATCATCAGGTGATTTCTTTGGAAATCAACGTGAATGGTGTTTTCTTAAAGCACAATTGTGAGAAGAAAGTTTCATAATTTTTTTACCCAGAGATCAGAGAAATTTTGTACTTTCTAAAATCAGCGTAAGTTTGCATTTGGCTTTATCGGAGGGAGTGGACAATTGTAATAAACAGAGTGAATAAATGAAAAGTGGCACCAGCACGCAGGCTAACTAAGAAGAAGAATAAAAATTCATATATTTATCCCATTTTGACTAAACTTTATTTCAACGTCACACGTACATTTCACTAATAAGAAATGAAAATGCTTTAAAATCAATTTTATTAAAATTACAAAAAAAAGTACAAAAAGAATTAAAAGATGCGTAATAGAATGAAAATGACTTAGAGAGAAAGGATTTGTTTTTTTATTTATTTATTTTTTTTTTTGTAAAGATAAAATATCACATAAGAATGGTTGAAAGTTGAAAAGCGCATACAGACGAAGAAAGAAAAAATAGATGAAGAAAGAAAGAATAGATGAAGAAGATGTTTACAAAAGATTTAAATGCTTTTTACAGAAAAATTGATTGGTCTGCGTTTTTTTTTTTTTTTAATTTAATTTAACTAAATACGAAATCAGAACGAGATAAACACCCATACATGTTTTTTGTGTACTTGTCAACGTAAAGAGAAAGGGAAATTAATTCATAAGTCCAAAATTCAAAGCATATGTAGAAACTTTCGCATTTTCAAGTTGGCGATCAATGTTTACAAAGTTCCGGGAGCAGGTTCCAAATTAACGGAGGCAGCAGAGTTCAGATGGCCTGGAAGAGGGGCCACATGGACAGCACCACGTGTCTTGGCAACATAAGTGCCCACCGGAGCGGCAACGACAGCAGGGACCACAGCGGGGCCGGCAACCACTTGAACAGGGCCAGGACCGACAACTACCGGAGCTACGGGGTGAACGGCGGCATGCACAGCCACTGCACCAGGACCAACTACAACGGTACCGGCCAAAGGCACGACCGACGATTGAACTCCCCAGGCCAAAGCGAACAAGACCACAACAATGGCGAACTGAAAATAAAAATGATAGAAAGTTAGTTAAGCCTTCTTCCATTTAACGCACCACAATCAACATGCAAGGTACTCCTTTCAATTCCCATTTTATTTGCCCTAATTGTCTCATTTCTTTCAAACTGATCATTTTCATTCATTTAAAATTATTATTAAAGACAAGGACTGCTGCAAATATCAAATTCGTTTACAACATTTTTTCCATGTGCTTTTGCCAAATTTTGTAAAAAAAAAAATTGTTCTTATTCACATATGATTTTTTTTATAATGCCCAGTATTTTATTTTTCACTCTTTAGTTATCCTTTAAATAACAGCTCACCTTCATCTTTCTATTGTTAAGAGCTTGAGCTGTTATTGTGCACTTAATTTTCTAAACCTTTTGACGTTAGAAACGATTGTACTCACAATGTAATGTTTACAGCAATCTTTTATACCATTATTACCGCAGCAACAAGTGGTATCAGTGAAGGCGTCTTTAGTGGACATTATAACGATATGTACATAACTAATTAGTTAAATGTAACGTCAAAGTTGTTCTTAAACGAAAATAATTTTAAAATAACTCTAAACTGTTGCCGAGCACTATCGCACATGTATCTATCAGGTAACTAAAGATTTATGTTCAGAAATTGCTTGCTTGCAACATTTATAAATTTTTCGGCATACTAGGCCTTTTTTCTCTCTTTCTTAATTGATCGTCCTTTTCACATTTTACTTAATTATGTGCGACCCAACGAAAGAAAAACCTTTCACATGGCTCTTGCAGCGCTTTGTATATGCTGGAAAAACTGACATCTAGGGTTGACACAATCTCACAGTATGTTGACTTTGCCTTAGCTGTTTTTCTGGCACAATGACTGATGTTGAACGATTTTCGTAACTATCATCGGAGAGCAAACAAAGGCCTTGAGAAACTTTTCTATGCCATTGTTTTACAGTGACAAAGCATGGGACTTCATTGCCAAAAGTGAAAGTAAGTTGAACGATGCGCCCTTTTGTTGGTAATCCAAGTCAAAATTCCTTTTTTTCCCTGAAACGAAGTCCAAGTCACAGTAAAGAACACAAACCGCGCTCAAACGATAAAATGCTCTGACAAAAACTAAGGTCAATAATATTAAAATCTCCAGGGGAAGTTTTAATCCATTTATCGCCGACTACAATGAATCTTGTACGCGGAGGGCAGCACAGGAATCTTATTAAGTGACGCCAGCAACGAGTTACCTCCTAGTCTTTTTCATTTTCTAATCACTGCAAGTGCCACTTCAACACTGTACCTTTAACTTAATATTATTATATTTTAGAATATTTCATGTTTTCTTTATAATGAAATGTCGCTACCAAGGGCAAGACGGTCTAAATCTGTCTTTCAGTGCGTGGATTAAATGGCATCTGACAACACTTAGGGGTGCCAAGGTTTAAAATATGAATAGTGCCCTAGGTAGAAGTTTTCAATTAGCATCAAATAATGCATTTTTATGTAAGCAGTGGAATATGCCACAAGATGGAAAATTAAAGCTTTGAATGAATTTATAATCCCACCAATTGACAGGTCCATTAAAAAAAATCATCTTTTTCTTTCAAAATTATTTAATCTTTACTTTTAATGTCGACTCAGATCTCGCAGATACGGCCAAGCACTGTCCTGATTTAATCTCAGCAAGAGTGGCGCAATAAATAAAAATCGTGACTGATAGGCCATTGTGCGCGGGTTCAATGCAGTTGAGTTAACTTTAGTCGAAGCTATAGCGATTGCTTAATCGATGAAACCATAACCTTTACCGATTGGCAGACATATTCACTAAACTGCGATCAACTCCCTATCTCTTTCTCTGTTTTCACTCCTTTCTGGCCGTCACTGTATTAAACGAACGGGAGGCGTCCCTGAAATGAGAGAGAGAAAAATAAGAGCGATAACCAGCTTCTGGTAAAATGCTTGATCACGGGAATCTGATCGCTTAACAACAATATCGCGGACCGTTTAATGCGTTACTACTTATTACTATTCTTCTGAGAACACTTAAGGTGAGTTTCTCTTACTCAAAACTAAACCATTTAAGACCTTTACTTATCGACGTTTATTAATCGATATTTAGGAAGAATATTACTAGGAGGTGTACGTGATTTAAAAAAAAGCGATAAATTCTTTCAAAAATCCGCAAGAACTTTTTTGCTTACCTGATATATATATGTATATATATACGCGCATGTAAAAAGTTGTCTTCGATAACTAGAAAAAATAAATCTTAATAATAATCCAGTTTCCATCGTTAACATTCTAACGTAACCATTAATTTGTATTTATTCACTTTCGTTATCATTTTCTTGTACATGGCGTTCATTAATTCATAAAACAATAAAATAAAATAAAAGAATAAATCGTGCAAAGTACAAAAAGGGAAAAACATATAACTCTTTTGTTAGTGTTCTTTAATGCAGATCTGTCAAATTATTTAATATTTCGATTTTTTGTTTTTTTTTTTGTTGTATGTCATAATTTAAATATAGGAAAAATTCGGAATACTTGGAATTGGTGTCTGCCAAAATATTGTTTGAATAATTTTTTGTTTCTTTTTTTTTTACTGTAAATTCTGCATCTTTACTAAAGATTTCATTCCTAATCAGCGTAACTGTTCGGCAATATTTTATGTAAAATGGCACGTTTAGTGTTTGCGGAAAAGGGTGTTGTAAGGCCTCGGCGTAGTAGGGTAAGCATAATATTACATTTAGGTACACATGCTTCTCTAAATATGGCTTACTCCCGGCTTAATTTCTTCAGATGATAAAGAACATTGGTTGGCGTAGTGTGCGTTTATTATTAGAACCCTCGACACGTAAATGGTGGGAGGATCCTGATGTCGTAGTTGCGTAAGTATAATCGAATGAGTTTTTCACTATATCGCGCCATTGTAAAGGATTCTTACATAAATATATATTTTTTTTTTTTTTTTTTTTTTAATCTGGAACACTCTGTATGGCTAAACGATGAATTAAAATCGTGCGGGACTTTATGGCTAAATAATGAATTAAAGAATGTTTGTGGATTTTATCACGGGTTATATTATTATTGTAAGGGGTTGGGAGAAGAAAAAGTGGGGTAAGGGAAGCAATAGAATTACCTCGAAACTATTTAGGAAACTTTGCCTTTGTATTTCTCGTAATACCTATATATAAAGTCCTAATAAGTGTACTTTTCTAACAAATGCACTCACAAGCATTCGTGTGCATTAAATTCCCGAACAGTATTTTTCAAATACTTATTTTTATCTTTTATTTTATTTGTATTTTCTAACATGTGAACACAAGCTATTAAAATTTCTTGTAATTCGCATGAAAATTGCATCATTTGTCCATGGAATGAAACTTTACCACTTGAACACGTTTACAAGAATAAGTAAATTAAAAGTTTAGCTGTTTATCCATTTTAGGAGTGGCTTAAGCCCATTCATTTAAGTATAAAGCGAGTTAAGGCTTTCATTTAATTATTTGAAGTTCCATCGTTAAGAGGATGCAAAACGCTTTAGAATAAAAAGTTAGACAATAGCTGAAGAACATTCAGCTTACCTGCTTTTTAGGAAAAAAATTAAATGATTTGTAACGAACTAATTATAACCCGCTTTTATAAGGTCTTCAAGGGAGATAACTAATTAACATATCCTGAAAAAAATTGCATATACTGAACAATCTGTAAATATAAAAAGTTGGTTAGATTAAAAGCTGGCTGTCTGTCCGTCGGTCAAGTGTCTATTTGTCGTCCTTTCTTGAAACACTTACTTCAGTAAAACTTTAAAAGTTCTGCCATATCCCAAATAGAGATTGTACGTGAATATGAAAATGATGCGAAGTTTCTAAATATGATTGTAAAATATTGCAGGGCTTGCACCGTTTTTAGCCTCATCTCGAAAGAAAAAAGAATCATGTAAACAAGTTATGTTTGTCTATTTCATAAGCAAATTGGATGGATATGCGATCAAAATTACAACCACCTGCGAGCTCCTCTTCGTCTTCTTTTTCCGGGCTCGGCCACTCCGTATGTGTTCCCATACTTCTTTCTCATCGTCACTCTATTGCACACGTAGGGAACAACCCCTGATTGATGGCTCCTATTGCACTATAATTACTCACTGACATCAACTGCTTTATTTTATTTATATACTCATTCACTATCCAACATAACGTATAGGTAAAATCGCTACTTGTTTATTAATCGAAAACTTTAGTTAACGCGAGACGCTTATAAGACAGCAACCTTCTCAAGTTTCCTAATAGACAAAAGCCTAAAATCTGGAGAAATACGAATTTTGCGGAAACAATTTCTATCATGGTTCGTGCAATTTGGTTCGTATCATATTTAGCGAATTGGTCGTTGAATTATTATGATGATAAACGATTTTATTGCGGAAGGTTTCTCTTTTCATTTCTTGCTTTAACCGATCTTTTATAAATCCATTCTTTTTAGAAGGATAAACGCCCTAAACAAATTTAATGGAAGTAAGCAAACATGTGCCACTTTACTCGTTTAATGCTTTATTAACTTCTTCTTCGTTTTTTGAATATAATTCGGAACATCAGACCACACTAATTGCAGATGTTTACATAGGATTTTAAAGGAATTTCTCCCAGGCATATATTTAGTTCTATTTCGCTTACAGTTTCCCTTTCCAATGGAAGAAAGAAGAGTGTGTAAGTTTCAATGGATTGAAAGCAATACTGTTTCAATAATAAGTGTATGTTATATAGAAAAGAATGTTATATTCGACTGAGGCCGAATCTTGTATACCAATCACCATTAAAAAGTATCTTTCACTTTCAAGGTGTTGTTAAGAAAATGTAACCTGCCAAGTCGTGAGGTCCATCATAATTAATTTAGAATTAACACACAGAACATTTCGCATTCTATTCCCCAAGCCCGTTTTGCTTGATATCCATATGGACAGCATTTCAAAGAAAAAATTTATCCATCATGTCGTGACGCCCAGCATAATTAATTCAGAATTAACACACTCGCCTTGTCACCTCCAGTCGCAATGCGCTTCGATTTTGATTGATACCCATATCCACTAGGTCGTGTTGTCGCCCATATTTATTTAGGAAGGATTTTTAGGCGAATTCATTTGGGGTATACTTCTAAACGTTCTGTCTTGTTTACCTTTGATTAATCAGCATAAAACCTCAAAAAAATGATATTTAATTATTTGTACCTATGCGTGGACATGGCCTTTTTTCGACTTTTGCACATAAATAGTAGAGTTTTTCATAAATTAAATGTAGAAGCTATTGGCCTTCTACATATAAAAATATCGTATTTTTATTTAGAAGAATGAAGTTGCGTTCAGATTACGCTTCACTGATTGTGCTCTGACAAATACGACTTATTTTCGATACCAACCTGCGTGCAAAAGCTTCCAATGTTTCTACGAAACTTATTGTCGATATTTTCATTTTCGCAGCTAGAAGAGTGCCAATAGACAAACAAACGCACAGCCGGGCAAGCATGGCTTAACCAATTCAGAATTTCTTGTATATGGGGTGTTTGAAGCGTACTTTTGGATGTTGCAAACATTATGAACAAATGAGTATGTCCCCTTTTCTTCAGTGATGGGCATAAAAATACGATGCTACTCGATGCTCAGGAAATATCAGCATTTGTACTAAATTTTGGAACGACATCTCGTATAACTGGTATTTTGCTGAGTAGAACGTTTTACAGACTTCAGTATTGCAATTATTTTGCTAATATTGGACGCGATCGTACGGAATTACGCTCACTGTATACGCCGGATTATTTTAAGTTTGACTAAAAATTTCAAATTTATTTCCATCAAAAAATTAGATTAGGGATAGCCTAGGCTTATAAAAATAGCTAGGCGCACGCACAATCCCAAAGTTATAAGTATTATAAGTAAGTTCTAAGTATTGTCTTACATAAGTATTTAAATTCCTATTGTTATTTGCGTTCATCATCGACGCATGGCCCAGAAGGAAGTTTCAGAGACCCCATATAGTACATATATTCTTGAATGGTACACCTAAAGCGAACCATTCTGAATATCTTTGCCAGTTAGTCTGCCGACTTCTCTGCGACTTCTCCGCTTCAGACACGTGACATAAATTTCCATGTTTATTCTACGAAAATGAAAAAAATCTGTAACGCTCAACCAATAGCCTATAGAATAAAAATTTAGTTTTTCCCTTTCTTTTTAATCTTTTTCAAAATAATACAAAGTGTATAAACGATTCAGTTGCAGGTGTAATTTTTTTTCTGGAAATTTTACTGAAAATAAACTCATCTTCTATTGCGCTGATCAATCCCCTTTCCTGAATGCATTTACGCATGCGTATCTCTCTGTCCACCTGTCTTTCTGCTTATCTTTTGGTCTCTGCTGTCTTTTTGACATTTTCCAGATGTTCTCGCGCATATACAATATTTCTTAATTCCGAATTTCTATAAATCTTTGCATGAATTGAACGAACAAGACAAAGAATCGAACTAGAACCGCCCGAAGTGTGAATATTTTCCAGACTATGTAGGTTGCCCGGTGTTTCACGCCTATGCTTCACACCGGCGTTCCATTTTACGTCGATTTTTAATTTCCCGTGTTACGAAGGAAAAGAACTAAGCCGTTACGTAACGACTAGTGGATAGAAAATTTATAAATATTATTATATGATTAAACAGCAATCATTACTTACCCATGAAGCGTGCAATTCTTTTGTTGTAATATCAACACTTAGCATGTTGAAAAGTGACACTCAATCAAAATGCGAAACTAATTCGAATTCAGCACGAACACCTTAGCACTTTAGCATACTACCCACGACAAGCAACACTAACATTACATACATGAGTTGTTGAAATAGTTTGCAAGGTGAGCAGCAGAAAAAAATATTAAAGTTCTGCTCTTGCACTTGCTTAGAAGAGCGAAAACAACGGAGAAATTATGAATTTGATGGAAAATAAATTGAAAGGAAAATTAAAAATTAAAAGTATGGAAAGTATTTCGAATAAATAAGGGATGGGGGCGAGTATACACTATCGAAGGAAATCTAAGGTAAAATTCTTCTAGAGGCAAAAACAAAAAAATTTCACTTCACATATGAAATGTAAACCGTGTCAAAGAGAATAGTTTGCAGCACTTGTATTTCAACATTATATGAACAAACACGAAACGCAAAAAAAGTGTAAAAGTTTCGTAAAAATTGAAAAGTGAAAGTAACGCGAATTAAACAAACGATTTATATGTGTGTACGTGTATTATGTGCTTTACATCTGATCCTGCTATCTACTGGCATATATTTCAGTTTTTTTCCCCCCCGTTTTGCGGAAATTCAAATTATAATCATATAATAAATTTGACGTATTTGAAATAAATAACTTTGAGAAATTAAGCATACACATATATATATAACATGTATATATTTACATATATGTAAATAAATATTCGCATTACAAGTGTAAAAATGCAACGTAAATTTATATCGCAGGATTCATATGAGTTCACGACATCACCAAGCAACACCAAACATAAATTTGCAACAATCACTATGATGCTTGCCAAGCGCATAGCTTGCAATGGCAACGAATGGTCAGTCGGAGACGAGCGTTACTTTGACTCGAACGCCATGAACGTCTGGCAAACTTTGGAATATTTATCGAGCGTTAATTGGCGCAAACGTTTCAATTACGATGGCTATAATGACGCGAAAAATGCGTTACGCATCTTAACGCCTTCATGGCGACGCGATAGTTTTGCGGAAAAATCTATTGCTTCCAAAGGTGATGACCCCTCATCGGCAACTTCTCGAAAACCCGTAAATAGTAAATATACCGCCACTGGTGAAACATCTGATAAAAATGCTATACGTCC